GAGACAGGCATCTACCTCAGTACGATGAAAGATAGTTGCGCAATTTCGTGGACTGGTTGAAGTTAGACATTGACACAGATGGTCTAGAGGTTAGGAGTTCGTGCGCGAGACTGGAGGCCTTGGGTTAGAACCCCGCGAACGTGATCGTGGAGGCGCACTGCTGAGGAGTTCCACAATAGGATGAAACGGTCGTCCGGTGATTCCAGGTTTTCAATGGTGGTCTAACATCAATCGGTTCATGATCTCAATCAAAGGCTAAATGATCTGCACAACCTTATACTGATATTTCACTTGAAACTATTTTTTTTGCATGTGTATAAAATGATCCTTTTTTCTTCTAAACAAAATAATCCAACCAAACCATCAAATCTAGCAAAATCCTATTGATTAAATAAATATAAACATAAAAAAAATTTATTTTCAATTATATATATGAAGGAAAAGATATTTGTAGGAATCAAACGACTGTCCAAATTATTTCATCCACTACATTTCTTTCTCAGTATATTAAATTATTATCATGTCTGTATATGGAAATAGATCATTTTTGCAACAAAATATATCGAAATCTTTTACGCTGATCATTACATAAGATTATGATGGTGTTTATTGCTGTTTAATTCACCACTGAATTCAGTTCATTCAGTGTTAAATATGGTAGATTACAAGATTCATTAAAAAACGTCTAAGTATGATGAAATGATTAATGTACAAGAAGAAGTACAATCAGGAAAATGATTTCAAGTTGAAGCTACAAAATAATTTAAATTATTGTTTCGTTATCAGTGAAAGGTTGTCGAGATTGCCGAGTTTTTTAAATTCAGACCATGAACCGATCAATGTAAGACAACCACTTAAAACCTGGAAACACTGAATCGTCGTTTCGTCATTAGTGAGCATTTACGATCTCATACTTGCGAACGAACGCTTAACTTATGAACTACCATGTCGGCATTTATCTCGTTTTCTGTTTCTTACAGTTTAGTTATCAAACGCTTTAAAATGCTTAAATAATAAATCCTTACATTGGTCTGAATGAAATTTATTGTGCGATCTTTATCTTGAGTTTGGTTTGCGTTAATACTGCATGCTGCTTCCTGAGTGGTTAAATTATCCGTTTGCTTAACTTTAATGCTAAGTGACCAATCACTTCCGCGATCTTGATAAACTGTAGATCATTGCTACCTTGTCATGAGTAGCATAGAATACTGATTATGTTAAATATTTTTAACAAAATTGATAAAACTCATATTTATGGACATTTAAATAAATTATCATACAAAACGCAAGCTGTTACTGCCGAATGACCTCAATATTTATGAAAATTTTCAAGTGAAGAATAGCCACATAAGTAAGCATAGATGGATGGTGGCTTGTAGTGAAATACAAAAATGAATTAAATCCCAGAAATATTTAAGGGAGACAGCAGAACAAAAGTACAGGACTATTTAATATTAGTTTTTCCTATGTTTATTTGTCTATTAAAATCTTTGTTTAACATGAACTCTTCAGTTGAGTTTGTCCAAAGATGACTTAAGTTTAAAGAAAATTTACTCAATCAATGATGGCACAGTTTTCGGCCTAGAAATTAAGTCTTTTACATTCAAGCTTAAATAATTTTCTTTTGCATTAAAATATATTGCATATAGCTTACTAGTTCTTTATTTCAGTTGATCATAGTTTGATTAATATCAGATGGGTTTTTGTGGAGATTGTAGTAATTTCAATCGTTAAGATCATGAGTCAGTTGAAGCTAGACCACCATGAAAAACCTGGAAGCACTGGACGGCCGTTTCGTTCTATTATGGGACTCCTCAGCAGTGCGCGGGGTGCGATCGTGGATGCGCACTGCTGAGGAGTCCCATAATAGAACGAAACGGCCGTCCAGTGCTTCCAGGTTTTTCATGGTGGTCTAGCTTCAACTGACTCATGGTCTTAACCATTGAGATCATAGTTTGATCAAGAAATATAATGATAACTTTTTCATTAAGCAGATAGATAACAATTTGGTGAGGTATGCATTTGAAAAGCTACATTGGGATGATATATTAGGAAAAGTACAACGAAAGTTTTCCCATCTTAAAAAAGAATTGATTACATTGTACTTTTAAAATATCACAACTAATATGTTCAAAGTATACTGTCAATCTATTCTAATTATATATTTTATTCAAACAAAATATTCTATCCAGAAATTCTTTATAATCTACAGTCCTCATTTATGCATTTAGGACAAATGACAGTTTCGCTTCTATTAAAACTTTCATAAATATTAAATTTACAAAAAGTTTCAAATGATGACACTTTTTCTTACGTAAGTTCATTAAAGATACAAATTAGTTATAATTTCTATTTCCTGTCAAAGTAATAAAAAAAACGGAAATATGTTTGACAATATTATGAAAGAACAAGTCAGTTTCTCATAAAATAAGTCCTGAAAACAAAAACAGTTTTTGTAATTTGATTGGCACCTATTTATTCTATCATTAATGATGATCCATGTTACATTTCTGTAATTTATCATCCTTGTCAATAATTTCGATAATGCTTATCGATAATGTATATCGGTTTTATGTGATATAAATCATAACATCATGTTGTATAATATGAAGTTTAGTATGAACGATTATATATGACAACAATAAATCATAACACAGGAACTATACAGAAAAAAAAGGAAGTAGTAAAATAGAATAATTGCAGACTTCATTTTTATTCATTTTTGAATAATATTATGATCACGATCCAGTCAAGCATTTATAATAGACCTTAGTTTTTACTCATTATTGATGAATAGCTGTATATGGTATCATTTTAATTTCTGTTTTTAGTAAAAACAACAAACAAGATCAATTATTAGGGGTACATTATATTGTATTAGGAATTATTATAAACCAAAGGTAATTGAATCCAAGAACACTTTGTAGCTATATTTGTTGTACTAAACAAATCTATTAGAAATGGAAAAAATATAATAATTTACAAATTTTGTGAAGTAAGTATAATATTAAATTACCATTTAACAGCATCACTAATGTCAGAAGGGATTTCGTGGAGATTGTAGTAAATTCAATAGTTGTGATCATGAGTCAGTTGAAATGACTACGATCTCCACTAAACGCTTTTTGATACTAATCAACATATGCTCAATGGTGACTGGCTTCAAGTTGCGAATCCTGCCGTTCTAGTGAGAAGCGGTGACCAGTTGAGTTCAACCGGGTTATTTGAGAGATAGTAACTCACTGATGACAATGGTAGATGTATCGCTCAATTTCGTGAATTAGTTAAAGTTAGACATTAACACCAGTGGATGCAGGTCGGCTCATTGGTCTAGTGGTGAAGCGTCCGCACGCGAGACTGATAGGTCTTGGGTTCGAACCCCGTGAGTGTATTTATGGATGCGCACTACTGAGGGGTCCCATACTAGAACGAAACGTCCATCCAGTGCTTTCGGGTATTCCACTATGGTCTAGCTTCAATTGACTCATGATCTCAACTATTGAAATTACTACAATCATTTTATTTTATCTAAATCAATGAGTGAACTCAACTGTCAATTATTTGAAAACGAAGATGTTTATCAAAAATGATTTGAAATGACATATCTGAATGCCATTACCAGTAAAGGTGACTTTTGTAACTTATTGTTATGCAAATAATAATTATATTTACATAAAAGTAGATTTTATGTTAATCACTATATAGATACAAGTTTATGTATTTGAACAAAGTGTATAGTTTAAAACTTAGTAGATTTGTTGAAAATAACATAAATACTTAAATACAATTGTCATTGAGAGTTAAATAAATAGTCATGTCACTCAATGCATATTTTTGAATCTATTAACTATGTCTTAGCATTCAACACTTCAGTTTAACCCATCAGACAGACAATTCGTTGGATAAGGTTTTACTGTCAAGAATGATTTATTTTAATTTGATTAACTTTAGATAACGTGAAATAAACAACTACACTAATCATTAATTTGACTGTAATATGGTTTTCTACAACTGAATTTATCAATTAGGCATCATATACTGAATAATATAAAATAAACAAAAATTGGACAGAACTGGAAAGGAAGGTCCAGGACAGAGTGGGTTGAAGAATGCTGATCGGCGGCCTATGCTTCATTGGGAGTAACAGACGTAAAGCAACTGAATAATATTACAAAAAAATTCAAATAGCAAAAAGTTTTTTTCAGGTGACATTTATCAAATAGCAAATTATTGTGAAACATTACTTGAAACCCGATCGTTATAATGGATTTTGTTAAATTTTATTCTTTACATCACTGAATGATCTTAGTTAAACCATCAGTAAAAAACCAAGTACTAAATATCTATTTCATTCAATGGTTTCTCGTTTTAAGTGATTGTCTAATTGTGGTTAGTTAAAAACAAAGAATAACAAGTAGAATATTTTCGTCTAAACTTTCACTAAATGAATAAACGGAAGAATTATCACTAGTGTTATTTCATGTTCCAAGCATTTATATAATGCTTTAAAATGTAGATGTAAATAAACATCATTTAAGTAAATTGTTCTTTCTCTCTAATTTCTAGGTTTATATTGTTTCGCATGTTACAACGTACACAACAACTACAATATCTCTCATCTCTACAATACATCTAGTACTTAATATAAGTTAAAAACAGGCAATTACCTTCCATTTAAATATAGATATGAAGATATTGACTATTACTTAAAGATCAATCAATCAGTCTAAGTAAGCTATTTTCCGGTTACTTATATTTTGTATTGATAAGAATATCATGCATTGAATTCAAAGATAATACTTCAAGGAATATCAAGGCAGTCCGCACAGAATGCACATATATCAACAAGAAATTGATCAACGGGAAGATACAATGAAACAACATCAAGTGAATACAGAGTTTTAATTTGTTTAAAATACATAATCAAGAAATTTCTTTTGATCCAATACAAATCTATAAACAATAAATGATAAAGATTTTGATTCTTTATTTTGAATTTAAAAATTTTTCAATATTAAATTTCATGTTCAATTCAATCATAATGATTCAGTTATTACTGATGTTTAAATGAAATGAAATAAGGTTGTAATTTTGAAATAACCAGCAACAATTAGCTTAGGTTATTGTTATGAAACTATTGTGGTTTCATTTATAACCAGTAAAGAAATCCTATTCTTGTGAAAAGATATAATAGGGTTAAATTAAAAAAAAGCGCATAACTATAGGTAAAAAATGTTAGAATCAAAGCTAATTAACTAAATTTAGAAAAAAATAGGAAAGAAATTGAAACCTTCATCTTTATTACCAAAAATCACGTTTCAGGTTATATCAATTATAATATAAAATGGTCATGAAGTGAAAGGATTTTCATTGTCATATATCCAATTTTATCACGTGGCCAATGATATGCTTGAAACCATATTATATTTTATAAGTTTGGTTTTTATGGGGGGGGAATAAATTTACAGAATAATCTTTGTATTACATCCAAGTTTACTTAGCTATATACAACACTTTACATATATATATATATATATATATATTTGACAATGAGGTTAGTGAAATCCAATTTAAGGTTATCTATTTTCTCTTGGTGCTTTTATCAAATGTTGCTTCAGAATACAAACCACTCACTGAGAAAAAAAAGACTCAGTTCACCAATTTAGATTTGGGTTGCCAGCTGTTACCGGTACTTAAACACATAAGTTCGTGAAAATCAGTTACTTTTTGATGCAATATACAATAAGTAAGAATATATATTGTGACATATATGAGACGCGATTTATTTGGGGTTTAGGAAAGTAAATAAAAATATTGTGTCTTATGTAGTTTTTGCTATATGTTTATACTGGAAACTAACATATGAACAATAGACATGAGTTATAGAGTAAACTTTATAAAGTTATAATTTTAAATCCATAGATAAGTTCCACTTTGTTTCATATAATTCGTCAGTACAAATGATAAAGATACTACTGAAATGTAGAATCCGTTTGGTTTTTATAAAATTATTACAGTTAGTGATTGTAAAGATTCGTATGTATGGTGTCCTCTACATATAAACCTGGTATTTATTTTCTAACACACGTTCTCGACAATTACTAATCTTAAGGAATATGTATCATATATTTCCTAGTTTATTATTGACAGAACAAAATCCAGTGCTATGTTATTCTATTTGATCTTATTTTTCTTTTGTACATTAATTAATACACAATTTCAACATGATTTACAAAATTAGCGCTTATTACATGTGACTAGTTTGAAGTAGAAAAGAAGAGCAACAAAGAAGAAGTGTGTGATAAACCAAACAAGAAGAAAATTTACAAAAGAAAAAAATACATCTGTAAACACTGTTTTGTTACTTAGAAAAAATATGAAGTTGATTCTTTGAGAATAAATAAAATTAGTTTAGTATGCTTGGTGAATAGTATTTCATTGTAGATAAAATATTATAGTGAATTTGTTTTCTTTTCAAAAACATTTTTCTGTTTTTTTAATGTAAAAATGATGAACATATTGGGAGAAAACTGTTAAGTAGATCACATTGTACAAATAAAGAATAAAAAGTAGATAGTTTTGTATAAAAAAAAATGATCTCAATCATCCACTTATCTACGTATATATGCGTATATGTATGTATATGTATGTACTATGAGCTTTATTCCATATGATGTCGGATTTCGAGACATGTAAACATTATGAAAAAAAATGATTATCTTTCTTCCGTTCGCCCTGAAATAGCATTTCTGAAATTCATTTGAGGTCTTCGACGTGGCCTTATGGGTACGGCACTAGTAGATCTCTGATTTACAGACTGCCCTAGACATCTTGAAGCCATATCATTCCGTGTATAAAGTGAAGGTACAACAATGCTTTGACGTTTACTTGATGAACTTGGTAGACCATATTGAGCAGAATAATGAACTGCACGTAATCGTGCATTAATATTACGACAATGACACAGAAGTATCATTTTAAAAGGACCACGAAATTCACGATCAAATTTGGCATATATAAGTGGATTTAGAAAACTGTTCACGTAACCTGTCAACATAAAATATAAGGACAATGAACATTTGATTGTAAAGATTGGTTAAATATTTTTTATTATAAACCATCAAACTGAAAATATCTACAATAAATAAAATTATAATTTGCAAACATCAACGTAAAAATTAGTGTCCCCAACTATTAAGATCAATCTGATAGGAAGATGTAATAACCGAATTTTTAAATTCTTGTTTAAATATTTTGTAAAGATTTACACTAATGATGACTTAAAACAAACAAACATACTTAAACGTTTGTGAATCGGATACGAAATGCTCTACAAAAAGTACTTAATAAATACATTAAAACGAGATCTTGAGAAAGAAACATGCTCACAGAGAATAGAAAATTTGAAGTGAAGTGTGGTTTTTAGGAAGTTATATACTATGTTAAACAGTCGTTATTCACTCATTATATTAATTTCTCACTTTACCACTTACAATGTTTCTCATCATACCTCGGTATTTACCGTAGAATTCTATATAACCCTATTCTGGTTACTGTTATACTTTTATCTATTGCAGCAAAAGTTTATGAAAAAAGTAAAGGTGAATATAAGTGTTAATGTTGACAATTTGCTTAATGTATTTATCACCACAACTGGTTACAAATAATTTCACAAAAAGCACTATTAGTCAGTGATAAAATTAAATTTACTAAGCTCATTAGTTAGTACGTCCCATTTGGATAGTTGACTAGTGATCAGACACTTTAAACGTATTACATTCACTTAACAGCAGTCTTTTTCTTTTGTATGACGATTTGTCATAGTATAAATCCAATTTTAGAAAACAAGGAAATGATGCAATGACAACAAAAAGCCTTAGAACTAAAACCACAAGCTTATATATATATATATATATATATATATATATATATATATATATATATATATATATATATATATATATATATATGTATATATATATATATATAGAGAGAGAGAGAGAGGGAGAGGGAGAAAAAAAGAAACAGACAGATAGATTGTTCGGCAAATCAGTAAATAGATGGATAGATAGATAATTCTATTACGTAAACTATGCGAATGCAAATGTAGTTCATTCTAGCAAAATAGGATTTTCATTAACAATTTATAAAGTGAATAACTTTTTTCATTGAGCAAATTTATTTGATCCATTTTTTCTAGTGAATAGGTTACGAATCATATGAGTACAAGGCTAATCTAATAGAGTATAAATTAAATAAACGATTTAAAATGATGACACTCTAGGGATGGTGATTTCACTTTTGAATTATTTATTTATTTATTATCGACATGTAGATATCAATTGAGATATTTCACATAATATGGACGGTCAGATTTCCGCTATTTATCTTCAATAACAACTACATTTCGATAGGTCATAAGATAAACAAATATATCGCCATTTAATGTGAATGTTTACAGCTGTGTATTTGAAAAGATCGCATTTTATATTATTTATCATTGGATTGATATTTTGTTTTTGATTGTTTAAGAAATAACTCAAATAGACTGTTTCCAATCGTTTTAAACGAAATACATATGATTGTTGAACTGGATTTCTCTAAATGAAACTCTATTGAAGTAAGCTTAATTTAGAAAAAAAGTGTTCTTTCACATGTTTAGAACATTATGTTATCATTATAATTGATAAACAAAATGATCGTTAGTTAATCATGAAGAAAAATGAACCTGAATTTCGTAGATACGTATCGAAAAATTCATAGACAACCATAGAATATGATTAGAAATGTTTTTGATGCTGTAAAATGGTACAACTGTATTTTCTATTCATTTCTACTATCGACTATGATTCATACTTAAATAGTGATTTCGCAAATATCAGCGAAAGGATGTCTTTTTTGAACAAACTTATTAACAACAGATCTGAACTTATTCTATAAACAACGTTGAAATCAGCAAACGGACTGGTTGAGTGGTTAGAGTCAATTAAATGCTAATGAACAGAATTCCTATCCTCGTTTCTCTCATTCGAGTGAAATCATACTGAAATATGTGCTCGTATAAATGTTCAAAGTAAGTTATGTTAACGGTATGTGTACCTTTGTCAACAAGAGAAGGTGAACTAATAGATGGACATAGTAGTGATCGAACGAGATAGTTTATCCTTTATGTATACGATAAGTAATTTTCTGCTTGTGAACGTAAATCACAGTTTTGTTGCAAATAACTATTTTTCTAATTGCTGTGGACAACGAATTCTTAAATATATCGTAATTTTGACAATCTTCACACTCTAGATCTACTTAACGTACACCTTACAAACGGCATTTTCGAATCCTTCAATCCAGCTGCCTATCAGGTTATTCTCTATGAGGTGGTTTTAATAACCGTTTTTAGCCAAAAAATTTCTGAAGAAGTCAATTTCTTCAACTCGTTCAGCGCTACAGATCTTCCGTATTCAGTAAAATGAAGAGTAAATAGTGTTCCTTTGTTTCTTTCATAAAATCAAGCCACATGGTTACTTTAAGTGATCTATCACCCTACCGTGTGAGTGAGATATCGAGAAATGAGATTGAATGACCTATCGCATATTATGACGTGAAATTTGTAGAAAGAGGGCATGTATTGAAAGAATGCAGAGTGCTGATTGCGTGAAAACCCTGTTTATAATCGATGAAACTATCGTTCATTTGCCTTCTGTACAATTTAAACCATTTGGTGGCAGAGCTAAGTTGATTCTTTTCAAGTTTAAACATGAAGATATTTAGTAGAACTGAGCTCAATAGGGACCCCATTGTAAATTCTTTGTACAAATTGATAGTAAATTGGTTTAAAAAATTTCCTAAGCTGAATTTCGTTTGGTTTTAAAATGATCTAATATTTATTCAGTCGTTATTTGAAGTGCTTAATTTATTCTTAAATGAGAAATTTTCTGGTTCCAATTTATATGAATTCGTAAGCCACATTAGAAAGTTAGAAAAAGTTGCTTACTGTTATTCTAATTATAGGTTGTGATAAGTTAATACTTATATTGATAAGTTATAAGTATATTGTTTCGCTATTACAAATCAAACTAAATCAAAACCAACAAAGTCCAAAATATCAAGAAATCAGTGCTCAGCTTCATATTTCATTATAACCACGATGCATACTTCAATAGTTTTAGTTTTTTTATGGGATCGCTCAATGGCGTTTAACAAAGATACTATTGTGAAAAATATCTCAATCAACGATTGTTAACCAACGAGTGACGTTAAGAAAACACTTTGAGGCTTGTAAAAGATAGATTACAACCTTATTAAAATTGAGACAGGAATTATCGGTAACGACAGATGACAGTAGTGAGAGCTTAAGACAAGTAAAATGGTTAAATGTAGAACCGATATTTCCTATCAACAGGGACGGTATCTGTTCATCAGAAAACCATGATTTGTGATTAATTGTGGAACATTCAATGTTAAAAAAAAACGATCAGTATAAGGGACTACTAATGAAAAATCTATATGTGGTTTACGTTTTATAGAATAAAATGTAATAGATTATCAACGGACTTTTATTCACAATTCAAATCAACTTACCTAACCATTGCAAAAATCGAAACACACTAACTGGAATCATGTTTGCAGTGTTGTAACCAGCTGCACTTAAAAGGGCCAAAAGTAGCTAAAAGTAAAAAATTTTAAATTTTAAAAGATAAATGTGAGATATCGTACTTCGAAATTATTATAAAAGCAAATTATTTAATATTTTAAAGTATCGTTAGCTATTAAGTGTATATCAGTATAATAAAAGGCTATCGCTAATAGAATGCAAAAACGAACAGGTTATTACTTAGCTTCAGTGTTCAATGAAATGAGACATATCTAAATCACTCATAGATTATTGATAGTAGAATGAAAAACATTATGCAACAAATTGATAAGCATAATAACACTGAACAACTGTTAGCCGTGTTTTTCACAACCTATAAATGATAACCTTCACTAAAATAAGCAAACTGGAAGGATAAACCGGTAGGATGTTTAAGTCAGATTTAAGTTTTTATTTTGAAAAATAGTTGATCGCCCGTTTTTTTAAATTCATGTAACTATAAGCAGTTGGACGCCCGTTTATCCGACATTAAAGTACATCTTTCGAAAGCAGTATGCATAAACGAATATTACTGTAAACAGTATTCAGTCCATAATTCATGCCTTCATAAAAAATTAGACTTCAATGACGAGTATATGAAACTCCATTTGATTAATGACTTACCTAAATTACATTATACCATAAATTTTAAAGCACAGTTACAGTAATATGTTGAAACAGGTTTATTTCAGGTAAGTGTAACCATATTAGAAGAGATTATTTTGCATTAATAATTACTCTTAAACATGTTAACACGATGATATCAAACACATTTCCACTAAATGATGAAGTTCATAAAAATAACAGTAAAAAACTTAAACATATTCTTATGTTGTACAGTTTTCACAATAACAATTCCTAGTTAAGTAACTTCAGACAAAAACTAGTATAACCATTTGGAAAATAAGAATATTGTAATCATCAGTATAGGGGTTGTGATGATTGTTTAGTATTGATTGAGATCATGAACCGATTGATGTTAGACCACCAGTGAAACCCTGGAAGCACTGGACGGCCGTTTTGTCCTATTGTGGGCCTCCTCAGCAGTGCGTAAACACGACCTTGCTCGTAGGATTTGAAACCAGGGCCATCAGTCTCGCGCGCGAACGCTTAACCTACTGGACCACTGAGGCGGCATCCAATGGTGTTAATGTCTAATCTAAGGTGTCTGCGTAACTTTGTGGATTGGTTGAGATTTAGTATCATAACAAAAGCATTGTTAATGATTACCCTAATGGAATTGAAAAATTTAGTTAAATTAATCCATTAAATACCAGTTACGAGGATTAGAAATAATAAACTTTAGTATCACTGTACACAAACTGTAGCAAAAATATAACGAAAATTCATTTGGTTATTTAATACGAACATTTTGAAAATTGACCTTATATTCACCTTCAATTCCATTTGAATCAGTATTGATTTCCTTCCGCATGTCGTATTTGGAGACTGTATATCCCAAACTGTTTATTAAGCAAGATAAAAGGACTAGAAATTTTGCAACGGGATTCATGTATATCCACACACTAAATATGAAATATATTTGTAACACACCATTTTCCAATGAATTTTGCCTCGAATCAAGTTAACCTTATTATCTCCACACTCTTCCTTCAGTATTTGTAAATATGTCTTGGAATAAGCAGTTATATTTACTTTAAAAAAAAGTGATTCAAATACAGTTTTTTTGTCAGTGTGAAATTTTGTTCATATCACTTCAGTGATATGTCAGTGATGTATCAACTGGAGACATAAATAAAAATAACTTTCATCGAGATAACTGATATTCAGTTTTTTTTCTTTCAGATAAAGTTATTCAGTTTCAGTGACAATTTATATCATGAAATATAACTACTATCAAGTTAAATGAAAATAGAATATTTCCCATTGAAAAGAAAACGGCTAATGGTTATACAAAGTACATTAATTCATGTCACTTGGTTACTAACAACACGAGAATGATAAGTAGTATCTCTACATTATACTTAATTAATTACGTAAAAAGAATATGCAAATATTCGTCGATGCATTCAATATACAAGAAAATTTTAAACTATACTGTATCAAAAGTAAAATTTACAGAATAAATAAGAATAGTAGCTCAAATTGAATAAAGAAACTATGAAGTGAGAAAATGGGAAACACAATATAAACTGTTTTGATGAATTGAATATAATGCTAATAAATAACTATTTAATTTATTATCACGTACTATCAGGGTGTGGAAGTAAATGTTCCGCAGTGTCGAGTCACCTAGACTGGTGGCCACATTGTAACATGATCGACAGCATTCGATCTGCACTAACAAGGACTAAACGCGCATGAAATTGATCGCCACCCGGTGATAAATCAATTGAGACTATACCTCAGTCCTACAGGAGGTCAGTGGCGGCTCAGATAGCTCAGTGGTAACGTCTCTGACTGTGAAGCTGGGTGACATGAGATCGAATCCGCCAGGGAGCACCATTTCTCAACATTACAGGTGTCAAGTGTCAAGTAGCACGAAACCCGAGTCCAGGGTTTCCTGTCGACCACCATCTAATTCCATTAATTTAGTTATATCAATGAGAAACTAATAAATTTCGTCAAGATTCTGAACCAAACCATTTGAGTGTATACCCAGTACTAGTTAATCTAATTTTGTCAGGATCGGCTAATTTTCGTGGAAATTTTTTTAATAATCATATTTCATACACAGTACTATGAAGACTGTTGAATAGACCAGGACTCATTAAATATCACGTAATCAATTCAATCAACACTGTAAAAACTCAAAATTTTACCATTAATAGTAAGTGGATTACCAACCATTTCAATTAACTAATTATATGCCTATTAATGAAATTTTGTTTACAATGATCACAGTGTTAAGGAAACAGAAGTTAATCATTAGATTAAAAGTAAATGAAAAAGGAATATGTTATTGAATTCCATGAGAAACACATAGATTACAATAGTCAGTTGTTTACGACTGATGAGTCGTTTCTCTGAGAATTCCTTCATGATATTTTTGTTGAAATTCAAAGTGTAATATATAGTTTAAAATCAAGAATGATCGAATAAACGTGCTCCGAGAAATTTCTGTACAAAATCCCAGTTAATTTACATGTAAATATTAGAAGAATTCATGTAAGTGGAACAAATACAGTAAAAGTGGATTTGGTAACTATTTTAAAACGAAATCTATTGTCTAAAGGCTTTGATCTGTCAACAATTTGGTCTATCATTTGTTAAAAAATGAGTATTCAACATGACAATGGATAGTGGAAACATAAAGATGGGAACAGTACTAGTTCTAAAGCAAATCTAGATACTTTCTTCTATCATTTCCCTCACAAACTATGGTTTTATTGATAACACTAAATTCCTTTTTCTATTTCCAGCCAAATCAAATACGTATACTCTGCTGTTTTGTGCTATGTTCACTCCATTCATACATAACATCACAAGTCTCAACAACTGAGCAATATATAAAATATGTTCAGAAGAACTATTTGGACAATCTAGACATATTAGACACTTTCGAATTAGATAATATTTAAAAAAGCTTAACAAATATCCGACAGTATAGTTAGCAGGATTCAACCTCAGGATATGTCGTAATAGGATAAAAGATCAGGTTTTTGATATGTCTCACTGTATACTGAATATTTGTAACAGAGAAAGCAAAAGTTGTTCAATATACTCATTCAAAACACCAGCAATTGACTTGAATTAGACATCTGATAACAAATAGCGAACATTGTCCTCGTATTACGATATTGTTCTAACATTGTGTGGGATTTGTAAATGGAACAGAAACAACATTTATTCTATCATATATATGTTTCATGTTCTTGTTACCCATTCTGTCTAGCAAGAAAGGTTAATGAAGTCTATGGTTAGCAAAGATGATTCTTTTTTAATTATATCATTAGATTATTTTGTTTTTAAACGAAAATCATTAGTATCATTAATTCAGAAAGATGATTGCCAAATAATAATAAGACTTCAGATAAATGGTTATTTTACTACCTTGAATAAACTTACTAATAAACTTCAATAGTTGGGATCATGAGTCAGTTGAAGCTAGACAACCGTGGAAAACCTGGAAGAACTAAATGGCTGTTTAGTTCTACTGTGGGACTCCTCAATAGTCCGCATCCACGATTCCGCCTCATGAGATTCGAACCCAGGATTTATCGGTCTAGCGCGAGCGCTTAACCACTAGACTACTGAGCCGGCCGGTATTCAAACATGTTAATGTCTAACTTCAACCAATAAACGTTTATATATATTTCAACATTTATGGATACAAAGAAAATATACAGATTAATGAAAGTGATTTTAATTATTAGTACGTTAATGTTCATTTACATCTTATATAGAAGAATGAATAGATTCCTAGTAGGATTACTATACTGATAGCTTTAAAAATTCATTAAACAACAATTTCTAAATGATATTTGTAAACATATTTACTATTTTATTGACCTTTTCAAATAAGAAATATTTGATAATCTAAATCTACTTCATATGTCATGTTCAAGACAAACAATCAGATGTGGTATCAGATCAAAAGTAATGCAAAGTATTAGACAAATGTATGTTTATAATGATAATGTAGTTGCTCTAAAGAAAAAATAAATTTTGTATATTATGGCGTAAACAGTTAAGGTTAGGATTATAAGATTCTCTGAAATTTGATATGCCGAATAAGAGTGTTAGTCACTACAATAGCAACAAACTGATTTGTACTTTACAAATAACACCAATACAATGTAACCATTTACTAAACTTTATATATAATTTATTTTTCTCCCCAAAATAAGAGAATAAAATAAGTTACACACTTTTATGATAAAATGTATATCCAGGGTATAACCTGTTAGAACGTTTATCAAGAAAATCTGTATGGCATTGCTTTTTAAGTTATCCAACTTCATAAAGATTGTTTGGCTTAATATTTTGATTGATTAACTGCTTATTCTTAACAGCTAAATTGTAACCATTAAGTTCTATTCATCATGTTCAACATTTAGGCACATCAAATA